TTCTGTGCGGAACACTCCATAAGCGATGGATGCGGGGTCCGCGGGGGTCAAAGGGAGGGGGGAAGGTGCGTCACTAGTATACAGGGTTCCACAAAGCGAGAGGTCCTCGGCATAAATGTCACACAGTCGGGGGCCCGCCGCCCGCCGCTCGCTGCTGCCGCCGCTGCCGCCGCCGCCGCTTACCGACGCCATGTACTTTCTCTTACCATTTTTTATCCTCTTTTCTTATATTATACATTCTCTCTCTTTCCACCAAGGTATTTCGTTTTGTCTTAATATTTTTTTGTAATTTTAATTTTTAATATTAATTATTTTTCCAAAGAAGATTTTTAAAAAATATTATAAAATATTAGTTAGTAATTTAAATTTATTATTATAGTTGATATTATTATTATTCGCGACATACATCGGCACGCGATTTCGCTATCGCGAGTGAGTCCTAGTTGCGCACAGAATAAATCGGACACATCAGGATCGGACATAGGTCCAAACGGACACAATAAGGAACGGACACAACGTGGTTGAAATCGGACACAGTAGGAAATGGATGCATGGATAGTTAAATAGATAAATAGATAAAAGAATCTGGCAAAAAAACGCGACAGTCTGTCTCGCGAACTGAGATATTAAGCATTAAAGTTGATCACTTTTTTGATTAGGAAATCTGTTATAGCGACTCGATATAGCGCTAAAAAAATATTAAAAATAAAAGTGTTAAAAGTGTTATTATATTCGAAGATGCAATCTTTCGCCTTACTAAATTGATGAGTCTATCTGAATATACTGAAATGATAGATCCTAGAAAGATTAGCAAAGACCCCAACGCAAGGATTGGGTGTGAAGTTTTCGCTGACCTTTTCATTTTGTTACAAATATAATTTTGTGTTGTTTTCGTAATCCGATTTTCGTGTCCGATTTCAATCACCTTATGTCCGTTCCTTATTGTGTCCGTATCCGTTTGGATCTGTGTCCGATCCATTCAACCTGCTGTGTCCGACTTATTTTGTGCGCAACTGGGACTTCCCCGCTATCGCAACGCAACCTGAAACCGCTGACGCTGAATTGAAAAAAAGAATGAAGAAAAGAATGAAGAATAAACGAATAATATCGTAATATACATTTATTGGTCATGTAAGGCATAGTGTACAATATTATCTATAGCGTATGCTAATAATTCACAATCTATAATCGAAGATTTGTCAAAAATGTCGCTCTCGTGCAAGGTTTTTATTGCAGTATATTTATCTGTGTATATTTATTTGATACAATTCCACTGCAAAAAGTTTATAAATTGTTTAAATTTTTCCCTGACACCATATATATTCTCATAGAGCCAGTAATACATGTTCGACGCAATGTTCAAGTTCGAATAGAAAGAATACAGTTGACGACTTTATGTACAAACATGTATCGCGCAATGTCAACTTTATAATATTTGTATTTCGCATTTGAACGAGTTCTATAACTAGATCATGAATCGACAATGATGAAGGAGCAATTGCACAAGCTGCTCGATATTCACGTTTCTCAATGAGGGATTTCCACATTACATAAGTACAATATTTGATTGTCTCGATTATCAATTCCGTAATTCCACATAGGATACAGGTTCCATATTGATTCCAATATAAAAAAAATATTTATAAGCTATGGATGTTAAGACAAATCTTCTTCCCAAGATACGAGATGTACAAGGTTCCAAAGATGATGATGAATTATGAGAAGATATACTGTAAGGAAAAGAATACATATAAGTGAGCTATTAATATATTAAAATATATAAAATGTATAAGAAAGATTTATGTTAATAAAACTTACTGTTTTTTATACGCCTCATTCTGTTGAATCGAAGTGTAATAATTTACAGAGTTTCCCTTGTACATTTTCAAGAACTGTTTCTTTTTATAGAGGTATAGACTATTCATCTTTCACAGAGCGATTAATGCAATAATGATTATTGAAGCTTTTTTTAATTTATATACCCTTCTATTTTTTTTCGACGGTCTACTACGCGAGTAGCGACGCGAGATGTGAAATATAATTCTCATTAAAATTGCAATTTTGCATTTTTGCATAAGCGCAGATGAACGGCGGCTGCGATGAGATTATACAGAATAAATCTACTTTAGGCACGTTTTCGTACATCATTCGATATATGATGTAACTGTAGACATTGCAATATTTGTAGTAATATTAATGCCAATATATGGCTGCTGCGATGAATTTCGCGTAAATATCTTTATCATGTCACAATGAGATTACCTCACGTATTAAAATTACAAATTTGCAAATCCACATAGATCAACAGTACGAAATATATATTTTTTAAGAACAATTGATGTTTTTCGCGATGAGATCATCGTGTTAAAAACGCAATTGTTGTATTTTCACATAAATCAAGAATAAAATCTTTTATACATCATTTGATACACTCTGAAATTAGATACCACATGAAATATTGTAAAGAAGATACAATCATTGGTAAGATATAATGAAAAGACTGTGACACGTTCTGTCATTAGCCGAATTATAAGTTGAGAGTTATACATCAAAGAAGATAATTAATATGGAGCAAACCGCACATGTTCTTTTGGAACAATCTATCCGATTGAATTCGAGAGAAGAATACGTTGCGTGAGAACAACGATGCAACAAGTATACCGAGTCTAGTAGAGCATGGTCGAATTAAGCGCCCGCAATTATCGATTAGTATTAGACAATCATTGATAGCACGACTCGAAAGTTTGAAAGATTCGGTATGCCAATGATTCGTGACCGCGAATGCTGGACAGCGCAGGCCTCAAATGGCGCGAGATTGATACGGCGTTTGAAAGCTGTGTTTTGACTGGTGCGGTCATTAATACGAAGTACATCGAACCTCGCCAATTTCTCAAGGATGCAAGGAGCATTGTGTTTGAGCGTGTGTAAAGTATCATGCAGAAACATAACAATATCAAGATGAATACAGTGTTTGTACAGTGAGTACAGTGTGAACGGTGAATTTGTTGCGAATGACAAACGTGTAAACAAAAGTGTCAAGAGAAACTGTGAACTCTTTCGTTCATCCAATTTACACGAGTGATACGAGTTGCGCGTTATTGAGCCTATCTTGGCATCCCTGAAAGAATTTCAGGACTGCGATAGCAGGTAGGCATTGTCGCGTATACTCAATTTGACTGTTAATATAAACAAGCACAATCTTCTGCACGCGAGATGTTACATCCAGTTACCGCGAGAAATTATGAGAGCGGTAATCAACGTACAATGCGTGTTTTGCGTGGTCGCGGCTCTGCATCCAACTGAAAGAAACACAGAATGAGAATCCTCGTATCTACATTATACATCGGTATATTCAATCTTCAAAACATTGAGTTTCCGATGACGTTGGACCAAATTAAAAACTTAACTTCTTTCAAAAATTATTTATCCGGTTATTACGATAAATATTACCACATGCCTCAGTGGTCGAATGGATAAGACACTCGTGCGTTAAACGAGCGATCGATTCCTGCCTGGGATAATATTTTTCGTAATAAAATAATTTTCAATCGGGGATAATCGATTTCAAATTTGATTATCGATTTAATAGGGAAGGGGTAAATTTAGATTTAGCTTTGAGTAGGCTACGTTGCAAGATTGTTGAATTAACGACACGTAGTTCGCGATAAGCATTGTCTTAAAATTCAGAAAAATAAAAATTATTTGACACGAAGACCCAGTCTGCCAATGGAAGCCATTTATTATCTATTTGTTTAAAAAGTTTGAATTTCTCAACAACATATCCATA